CCTTGATGGCATTTCCGCCACTGAGTTTGGACTTTAAGATCTTCTTCACTCTCACGATGTATTCACTCCTAACCTTCTTCTTGACTTCAGCGTGCTTGATGTTGTCAGTTTGAAGGGTGCCCAGGTATTTGTAGTGATCTTCTTCATCGAGACTCTTGATCTTATTTCCATAGGGCATCTTGATTCCTTCAGTTTTCACTATTTTTCCCCTGTCGATGGTCAGGGGGGCTCGTTTGTCCAGTCCAAACTCCATTGCAATGTCTTTGTTGTATATTTGGACAGTGTTGAGGAGCGATTCCATTTCAGGTGGTGTATTTTCATACAGCTTCAGATCAACCATGTAAAGGAGGTGGGAGAGCCTAGCAGATGTTTTTGATGTTTGATAGCCATGGCTTGACTTGTTGACAGAGGAATCAATGCAATGACAAACAGTAGTGGTGACAGTGAGTCTCCTTGAAAAATTCCTCTCTCGATGTTAACCTCTCCCAGTCTGTCACCATTGACCACCAACTGTGTCTTCCATTGTGCCACTGATCTTTGCCCAAAGCTTTTGATGTTTCTAGTGACTCCTGTGATTTCTAGGCACTTGATTATCCAGTCATGTGGCAGGGAGTCGAATGCCTTCCTGTCATCAATCCAAGCTACATTCAAGCTGGTCTTCCTTCTCTTGCAGTTTTTCACAATCATCTTGTCAGTTAGGAGCTGATCTCTTGTTCCTCTGCTGTTTGGGCGGTTTCCTTTCTGCTCAGGTGGAAAGAGCTTCTTTTCAACAAGGTGCTGTTGGACTGCATCAACCACAACACCAGTTAGCAATTCGAAAGTTGTGGGCAAGCAGGGAATGGGCCTGGAGTTGCCTGGGGCCGCCCTTTTTGCTGGATCTTTCATTATCAGGTAGGTTTTGCCAGATGTTAAGCAATCTTCAATTTCACCTCCCTGCAGTATGTTGTTAAGCTGAGTTGGGTGCAGACCAGCCAGATGTTTCAACCAAAAACCATACAGTTCATCTTCACTTGGTGCTGACCAGTTCTTGATCATCCTTGCCCTTTTCTGCTGTTGTTACAAGTTCTTTCATTTCAGCTTCTTCTTTATTCTCATCCACCTCCTTTTTCTAAGTGGCATTCTTGTTGTATTTTTGGGGTAAATTCGGTCTTACCATATTGTTTATTCTTTGTCTGGTTCTTCTGATGAGACCTGTCCTGTAGGGTTGAACCTCTGGCATAGCTCTCCTCCTTCTCGGAGCACACAAGCCCCACAACCACGACAAGGTGGTGCCTCACTGGGAATTCTTATTACTATGGTGGGTCGCAGTGTCAGCCAGATGTTTAGACTGGATTTGGCCTTTTTGTCCACCGATCGAGTCCTTCCCAAGGACCTGGGATAGGCAGATGTTGTTTGATGGGGTCAAAGGGATCGTCGCAGGATGGAAGCTGTTCCAAGCAAACCTGCCTTTTGCAATGGACCGATGGTGATTTTATCAATGACGATGGTCTTCCAGGGGTGCTCCAGATGTTTTAGAATTCCACCCAAGACACCTATTATTCGTTATCCCACCTTTTTTATATATAACTCAAGGTGGCGAACATACTTAACACTCCTGCCTCCTGTCCAGTAAGCTTTCCATTCCAAGTTCCAGATCTCATGCTGTGGTCTTTCACATCTGCACATGCTCAGAGGCCACTGAAAAACTACTGGCTCAAATCCAGCTGTTTTATCCTTCTTTCTGTTTCTGCCTGTCCTTTTGCCCATCTCCTCTTTTGACATGTCAGCCTGCCCTGTGCGAGAGAGAGAGAGAACAATTAATCTTTTTTTTTTCGGCCTTTGACCAGTCCAAAGTATAGAACGATACAAAATCGATCACAAAACGGTAACAAAGTCTTTATATAAAATACCTATGTGAATACGATCTATAAACTGATTGCTACAAGTAGGTATGTGAATTGTGCTTACTATAGAATACCCATGAGGTTAATCTCTATAAATGAAGAACGATGTGTGTATAACCTACAAATCTAAAGTTTACATATTATTTATTAAATGTAAATTATAGTAGAAAATACATATAGAGCTAAACTCTATAAATCAAAGAACTATAAATACATAAGTGTTTTGGTCTAATGCAGTGTTTCTCAACCTTGGCAACTTTAAGATGTGTGGACTTCAACTCCCAGAATTTCCCCGGCAGCATGTTGAAGACCACACAACTTAAAGTTTCCAAAGGTGAGAAACACTGGGCTTATATCTATAAAACTCTTAACAAATCT